TAATCCACTGGCATCAATTAACAATTTGGACAATTTAAACGCCATTCTTCTGTATCAACAAATGACTAATGTTCCTTATAATAATGGCATGCTTAAAGATATGGGAGGACAAGGGGGTTCTATTCCAGACAATAATGATACCCAACATCTTAGTGCTATGATTGGTCAACTGCCTCAAATTGTACAACAACAGCACCAACCACAGCAACAGCAACAGCAGCAACAACAACTACAACCACAGAGTGTTCAAAATTTTTATCATCCGATTGACATACCACAAGTGCTTCCAAAAAAAATTGAAGGAAACTCTCTACGTAGTAATATTACCCCACTCCGACAACTTGGTGAAAATGAATCGTTGAAACCTAAATCAGGATTTATACCTCCTCCAAATCAGAAACAAGAAGAAGGTAATGCTAAAAATACTAAAGTGAAAAAGACAACTAAAAAGAAAATTTTATCCTCTGAGCCAAGTGAGATCATTTCAAATAATGAATCAAATAAATTGCAGATAAAGCAGAAATCTTCACTGAAAAAAAATAATGTTCTTACATTTTCAACACCGAAATCTGAATTATCTCAGTTATCATCTTCAGAATCTGATTCCAAATCGGTTACAGGTAAGCCTCTGTCTTTATCTCTATCTCTGCAACTTCCGAGTGATTCAAATGGTCTTAAACGTTCAAGCATGGAAGAATTAGTTGGGTCAAAGAAACAGAAAACTGAAGTTTTAGAAAATAATAAATCTGAAGAATCTATATCAAATGATATCAAATTTGAAAAAGAATTGTCTAACTTGACAAAGTTAATGGAAGAGAAACTGAATGGTGGAGCTGAAAGTGAATTGAAAAAGTTAATTATAGATAATATTAAATTTTATGGTAAAAATCATGAAAAATTAAGCGATAGGATAGGTAAAATCATTTTGGCTATACCTGAAAAGACCTTCCATAAGAAACCAGATTATCGTTATGTTGTGTTACGTTATTCGGCTACTGCTATAAAAAATCTCGAATTTTGGTCTTATATGGCTTTAAATACAAAGTACTTTTTGAGAATTTTAAATTGGTTTAAGTCAGATTTAAGAGAAAAAGATTCTGCTGCTGTATCTTCAATAATTTCAATTTTCAAAATAATGGAGTTAAGGAAACAGACGTTAGAACGTCTACAATTTTTAAAATTTATCGAAAAGATTAAGGATAAAAATGTATTTGATGAAAAGATTAAAAAACAAGCGGAAGAATTTTTAAAATTTGTTGACAAAACATCAACGTCTCCAAAATCTTCACTTCATAAACAATCCTCAGTGTCACTGAATAGCACGTCTACATCTACACCTTCTAATACAAGTAATTTACCTTCATCAACATCTTCTTCAGGTCAAAGATCTTTTTTCACAGAAGCTGGTATTAAACCTGTTGTTTCTGCTCCTTATGCTACGAAATCATCAATTTTTATTAACGATTCCAAAAAAATTACTCAAGGAAACAAAGCTATCAAGGTGGACTCATCAGTTAATTCATCTAACAATAATAAACCTGCAAATTTATCAGATAATTCTTCCAACAACAATAATAGTAAAGTTTGGTCATTTAAAGATTTTGTTGCTAAGAACAAGACTGAATTCCAGAAAAATGAGGAAGCAAAAACAAGTGACTCCCAATCCAAAAATGAAACCACAGAACAGGAAGAAAGAGTTAAGGATTCAAATGGTTTAGTTAGTATATTAAGAATGAAAGGTGGTGAAGACCTGCCAAAGAGAAAAGTTCGTAAGGCAGCATCTCATGGAGTTAGATTTAACGATGAAAAATTGGTTCAAATTAAATATTTCCATGATACCTATGAAAGAGCTTCTTTTAACAATAAAGATTTGAGCACTGCTGGAGAAGCTGCAGCTTTCAGACAACATGAAGTGATAGATAAGGAAATTGATGAAGATATTGAATGGACTCAACCTATTAACATTTTCCAAAATTTACCATCATGGTATAGCGAGGAATGTTTGAATGAAAATCCAATTTCAAGGGGAGGCAATAAATCTGCTGAAAGTCAAGAACGTGATGCAAGGAATTTAATAGAATCAAAGATTCCAGAGGTTTTCTATAAAAATGAGTATGAAATACCTTTTTCACCAAGAGAATCATCATCTTTAAATATCGTTCCACCTCCTATTTCTTCCAAAACAATGGTCCCATTTGGTAGTGCCGGTGACCTTACAAAATCAGCTAATACTACAGATTATAATAATTCTTTTTTAGCATATACGGCGGGGATAACTCCAAAACCAGATGATGAAAGATTAATTGTATATTAGTTTTCGATCATCCTCGCCGCAAAGAAAAAAAAAAAAAAAAAAAAAAAGAAAAGAAAGCTTAAGAAAAATTAAGTGCCCAGTATATAGTTATGAGATTTGTTAATGATTATTTTGAAGCTTATTTAGAATTGTATTAATATTATTCATTTTCATTTTTGAAGATTCTCTCTATTTTTTATATTTATATATTGTAGTTACAGTAGTATTCCTTTATTGGCGATACAACACTTCAAGTGTCGTAGCGCGAAAGAGCAAAAATTTAAAAAAAAATGCATGAAATGCAGACTTGTGCGGAAGATTGCGCATACTATATAAGAACAAGAAAACATCTCTTTTTTTTGAAATATTCTTTGTCTCAATCTTGTAGAGACTCCTCCTGACTTTTTTTGAAAAGTTGTGATATTTTTACTTTTCTTGACGGACATTGAACGTTGAGTAACGTCAGTGTTTTGTGGGCCCAGGGCCGACTGAGGTAATCTTGTAACATCCCTAGACGTTGGTAAAGAAGAAGAACTACTTAACGGATAATAAGATGCTAAGTTTTCTCTAATAAATCCTGTGTTTTTTAGAGGTGAACCACATTCTTGAGCATAAAAACTGTGATCACGAGTCGGCAACCTTGACCACATAGTACTAGTACCATTATGGTCATGCTTATTTGAGACATATAAAGAGGTGTAACTACCGCTTAGAATAGTAGTACCATTTGTTGAATCAACTCCATGATGGTGTTGATGTTTTTCCTGAAGAGTATCATACTCAATTGATAGTAAATTTGATGGCAATAAAGTGTTTTTATCGTTTTGTCCACTATTTCCTAATGAATCAGTGATACCGTTACTCACACCATTAAACATGTGATAATTTTCGCCATTGATCTGCTCCATTGGATCATTATTTTCCTTATTAGCAACGTTGACAATTACGGGTGATGAAGGTCTTATATAACTGATATCCTCTTGCAAAGGAGGTTCATTATTCAAATCCATGTTGATTAATTCCCGATCATCTTCAGCAAGATATTTTTCCAGATCTATTGCCTTCATAAGTTTATCCAATTGGAGTTTTGAACTGTTTGCAGATGAAATATGTTTGCGAGAAGAAATTGAGGTGTTCATCGAACTCATAACTTGACTCGGAGAATCAGTCTTCTCAGTATCTGATATGTTATTTGCATCATCATAAAATGTATACATGGGGGCTGACAGTGATAGTAAACTACTACGGTTTTTAACCATCTCCATAAAATCGGTTTGTTTTCTAATTAATACTTTACTAGTCATGTATTGCCGACAAAAAGGTGAAAACCTTATAAAATTAAAGAAAAAAAACAAAAAAAACAAACAAAAAAGCAATCTATGCTAGATAAGCAGAAAAACAATTAGATTAGAAATAAAAGGAACGAAAATATTAACTAAGAAGATTAATACGATACTGGTGATTGAATAAAAGTAACATCATCGAAACTTCAACCAACTTAACTCATAGTGTACATTTTACTTCTTCATCTCAGAATTTTCTTAGTGACTCAATTGAATCTTCAGCAACAGAGTCTGAAACTAGCAATCAAACAAGAAAGAAAAAGGAAGTTTTTAAAACTAAAGATGACATTGGAACCGAAGAAAAGTCCAACAGAATTTTAAAAGAGTCAAATGTGAATTCGACAAGACAAGAGAATAGTATTTCGAAAAATCAGGAACCTAGTAAAAAAAATTTCAAAAAGCTAAGAGACTTCAATAATAAGAGTAAAATTTCCTTGTCTTCACCTTTAAAACAAGAAATCAAGAGCAGAAAAACTTTAACAAGGAAATTCAAACAAGATAATTCACAAGTCAAGAAAAAGAAAAGAAAATTATCTACTAAGGCTACGATTAAAGAAAACGAAGTAAATTTCACAACTTCAGCATCAGCATCGACTACAAACAAAGAGTCACCTAAAAATTTGATTTCACAAAGACCGAAAAGAAAAATTTCTAAACCAAAATATTATTTTAATGAATCGTTCTCAGAAACATCACGTCCATCTTCAAAGAATACTAAGACTATTAAGCCATCTTCAGAACTGTCTCAAACAGAAACATTTGACCCTGAAATAGACGAAGGTGATCATAAAGAAGTCGATGATCATTCTGCTAAAAAAACAAAGTCAGTCAAACGCTCAAAGAAAATGGAGACAACCTACACTAAACTTTCAACTGCTAGGTCAAGAAATGGCTGTTGGACTTGCAGGTTACGCAGAAAAAAATGCCCAGAAGAAAAACCATTATGTTCTGAATGTTCTAGACTAGGACTAAAATGTGATGGTTACAATGATGAAAGACCTATCTATATGAATAATAAGAAGGCTGCGAAAAAACGAATGGAGGAAATCAAAGAGGTTACTAATTTGAAAAAAAAATTAAGGATGAGCAGTAGAAGTAAGAAGACTGTTTGACATAAGAATATAGAAAGATTGCAAAAACAAAGTATAATTTTTGCCCTTCTATTGTTTTTCCATTTTCCAAATATTTTGTTGCTGAATTCCAAAATTTTTTTTTTCTATTCATTGTCAATTACTTTTTTGCTATATAAAGATTATATTTATAATTTAATAAAAGTTTCTCTTCTAATGATCAAATAATATATAATATAATGGATGCTTCTACTCCTCAAGAGTAGTACCGGCTTCGAAACAGATATATTGAAAGCCCGTGTAGCGTAATGGTTAACGCGTTTGACTTCTAATCAAAAGATTCTGGGTTCGACTCCCAGCATGGGTGCTTTAATATTTTTTTAATTTTTTCTTACATCCACTTCAATCCATGAGTAACGAACAATATTAAGACTATACTACCTCATATAAATAAAATTCATTATATAATCGAAGATATATTTACTTAAATATTCACCTACAATCTCGTATGTATAACTCAAAAAAAATCTATAAAAATAAGATTCTTTCTCCAAAAAAAAAAAAAAAAAAAGGAAAAATTCAATATTTAGTTATTTTATTTTTTAAGTTTAAAAACGGGAGCCATTATTCCCAGTTTGAGTGTCATATTGATGATAATTATGATACTGATGATACTGGTTTTGAGAAACCCCCGACTGAATATTATTGCTATTTAGATAATTTTGCTGAAGATTTGTTGCATTGTTGTTCTGCTGAAGGTTTCCATATTGGGAATACTGGCTTGCTAAATTACTAGCGCTAGATCCAATATCAAGTTGTTGAGATATCGTCTTCTGAGGTGTAAATTGCATGTTTGGGTTTGCCTGAAATGCTGGTAATAATTGCTGCTGCTGTCCGTTGGATAACCAACGATAGTATTGCAGCAACTGTTGTTGGTAATCATCTGAGAATGCTTGAGAAAATTGCAGTTGATGTAAACTGGTAGGAGTCGCAGATAAAGAACTGTTACCACCATCTTTAATGATATTCGAAGAAGTGGCAGACAAAGTACTAGCGATGTCTTTTGTATTGATACTAGAATTGTTTCCACCTTTGTTCAACAGGTTAAAAACTTCATCTTCATCAGCGAAATCCAATATGCTACTCACCATTCTTGCAACCTTTTCGTTTTCTTCTATTTCATGCTCTTTTTCAATCTCTTCCACAGTCATTACTCTATTTTTATTTATATAGTCGATTCTTCCATTAGTTCCATTATTCAAAGTATCAGTTACTTCTCCAACCAGGGACAAGGATTTCTGCGAATTTCCGTTTCCTGATGTTTTAGATGTAATACTTTTATCATTATAATCCTTATCTTTGACCTGTTTACTGTTCTTTTTAAGTTTCTTATTTTTATTACTATCGTTGTTTAATTTGCTTACACTCTTTCTCTCAGAATCTTCATTTTTATTTTCATCGCGAGGCAGCGTCAATTTCAGAGATTTAGAAACATGAATCATTTCTTTTTGAAATTCAAATAAGCATAGCTTTTCATTGAACTTGATGAATTCATTTGAAGTTCCGTTGGCTGCAGCAAGAACAATTTTTTTACCTAAATTACTAATAGCCAACATTCTTAAACAATTTTCATCAGATTTATTAGACAAGTGCTTATCATATTCATCTTTAGGTAATTCTCCAATTAGCTTTAAATAGTTAATTTCTGTAGTATCTTTGAAAAAAGAACCATCATCAAAATCTTTCAAAAAATTAGTTAATGGAATAAATTCTTTCAATAACACATCTTCTTTGAAAAATCTCAATCTTTTGGGTTTAACACTTATTAACTCACTTATTGAAGTGAATTTATCATCAAATGTATATAAAGCCAATTTATCAATGAAAAAATTGATATTTTTATTCATATAACGATAGTATAAATTTAAAACTTTGCACAATTTGATTAAAGTGACATTATTATGTTTTAAAAATTGTAAACCTGCTCTATTTTCTTTAAACCAACATAATATGATTCTCAAAATAGGTAAAAATGGTAAATCAATTTTCTCAGTTTGTTGATCTACATTCCAATTTTCCATTGATATTTGGAATATACAATCAAAGAATTTAAACATAAATTTTATGAAAAAACTTGCGATATTTGATGATCGATCAATTTTTTTATTTGAATCATCAAAAATATTGCTCGTTAATAATTTAAACCCACTTATAAGCATAATCAATTGTTTGAAAATAACATCATTATGAACTGGTTTCCCAATATAGTCCCAAGTTAATAAATTTTGGAAAAAAGCATTTTCCAAATCTTTAACTGAAACTCCATTAATTAAAATTCCTTGTGAAAGTTTCCAATCCAGAGGCAAAAAATAATAATTGAAAAGACATAAAAATTGTAGCTTGATTAATTTCAATCTATTAATTTTTTCTGGATCAACAATTGTACTAATTTCATTATATTCTAAAATTATAGAATTTTGATTATTATCAGATTTTTGTAAAATATTTATCAAATTGTTAAATCCTAAATCAGATGGTATTCTAGTCATTGTTGATCTTAAAAAATTATAAATTACATTGAATTTATCATTTTTAAAATTATCAATGATAGCAGTATGAACAAAAGGTTCACCAAATGCGGGTAAAACTAAAATACACAACTTGTATAATTCAACAGAATAATTAAAATTGAAATCTAAATCTTTCTTAGATAATGATGATGATGGTAAATAAGTTCTCGCTATAATTGACCTATATCTCGACAAATCTGCTAACGATAAGATTGATTTATGTATGAAATAAACTAATGTTGAAATTAAATTTGAATTTTGCAGTGGTATAGTTTGTGAATTTTTTGAGATCAATTCTGTATTAATGTTAAATTGTTTATATATTTTGGTAATAGGTAAACATTTAGACAAGTTATAATTAATTAAAATTTTATTTAGTAATGAAATGTAAAAATCACTAAATTTTTTGATGAATTTATGGAAATTATTGAATAATTTCCTTAATTCTACATTTTTTTTTCTTTATGATCAGTTCTAACCAAATAACGGAACTGTGTCTGGAAATATTTTATTATTGGATAATGAAACTCTACCCATAACTTATCCAACAACTCATTCGATTCGTAATCATTATCTTCTCCTTCATTCTCTTTTTGTAATGCTAAATCTTTTGCTATGAAATTTTCAAACTTATTTTGTGCAAATGTAATTGATCCCAATAACAACGAATCATCAACATATTTACTATTAAGTAAACCATATAACTGAGTTCTTAAATTTGTAATAGTTATTTGACTCGTGGTTGTACTAGTTTCCAAAGTGCCACTACTAGGAGTACTTGTTTCAGTACTTGTTGCCATCTTGATCAGTACAATATTTGTTTGTTTTATTTATTTTATCAACAACGTCTATAAATGCTTTCTTGTTTAACCGCCGATGTCTTTTTCCGATATTCATCTAGATAAATAACCATCTGTTGAAAGTTAAAAGACAAAACTTCAATCAAATCACAATTAAATTATAAATTTGGACAAATTTCCTTAAGCGCCGCTTAAAATTTTCTAATAACAGTTAATTGTGTCTTGTCTTATTTTTCTAACTAACTTAGCAAAATGTAACAAAAAAATTATTATAATTGTCAAGTAAAAAGTTTATGGGAAAGAGGAAAAAAAAAAAGAATAGAAATACTAGTAAGTAATCATAATCTTTTCACTTCCTTATTATCTTTTAAAAATAAAAATAAATAAGATTGAAGTATAATTAATTAACTATATTAAATGATTATAATAGGTTGAAAACCAGTATAAATAATATAGATTTGATGCTCAATATTTTACCGATCGCATCAAAAAAAAAAAAAAAATTTTTTTTTTTACCTTGTTTTGTCTGCTTATGCTCCTGAACACAAGGAGAATTGCGGCCAAGGTGCTCTACATTTAACTCCCGGTGGCCAAGTTGGCTAAGGCGCGAGACTGTAATTGTTCTCACCTTCAACATTCAAAATTGAGGGTAAAATAGTAATCTTGAGATCGGGTGTTCGATTCACCCCCGGGAGAATCTTTTTTTATTTTTTTTTTGATACTGTATGTTACCTTTTTGCAATTCTATAGTAGATTTTCACTATTATTTAGAAGAGACTAGATGAGATTAGACGAGATTAGAAGATACTTTTATTGTTGTTCTATATATTATGAGACACTCTATTTAACATAATTCCAAAGGGGGTGGGATCTCCGGAACTTTTCCTAGCTCAAACCTATCATTTTTGAATAGGTTTATAACTTTTTCACTTAAATCTTTGATTGAAGTTTGTTCCAGTGGGACGCCAGCTTGTACCAATCCAGGTGCCTGATTAAAACCTAATGTGTTAGAATTTGTAGTTATATTTGTGGGTGTAACGCCAAATCCGAAAGGAGTTGAAGACAGTGTGGTTTGGGTAGCAAATGGATTAATCGCTGTAGTTGCTGTAGTTGCTGTACTCGCTGGTGTTACGTTTCCAAATGAGCTTCCAACATTACTTGTTGCTCCAAAAAATGTACTGCTATTTGTATTAGCTGCTGCAAACGGAGATGTAGTGGAAGTGGTGTTATTTGCAAATGGGTTTGGGGCAGTTTTTGATAAAGTCATTCCAAAAGGCGATGTAGTTGAAGGTGGTTGCAGCAGCAGAAATGGCTGCTGCTGTCGCTGTTGTGCTGCTCCGAATGCCCCAAATGGAGAAGACCCAGTAGTAGCGCTAGATCCAAATGCACTTGTGCCAAATCCTGAAGATCCAAAAGCTGATGATGAACTATTATTATTATTATTATTACTATTATTATTAGTACTACCAAAACCTGAAGAGCCAAAAGCAGAACTGCCAGTCCCAAAACCAGCAGAACCAAATCCTGATGAAGTATTGTTGTTGTTATTGGATAAACTTCCAAAAGCACCCACTGGCTTGCTAAATGCATTCCCGCTACTGGCACCAAAGGCTGTAGATCCAAAAGCAGAGGACGGCAGAGGAGCCGTACTTCCAAAACCTGAATTTGTGCTTCCACCCAAATTACCAAAGGCTCCAGTTAAAGACTGTGATTTAGAACCAAATCCAGATGAACCGAAGAGTGTTCCACCATTGTTATTATTTCCAACTGTTCCAAATGGAGAATTACTGCTCCCGCTGTTAAAATCTATTTCAAAATCAACAAATGGCTTAACTTTTGGTAAAACGCCATTATGCTTGGCAGCTTCCTGTGCTGTCAATTGTAAATACCTAGCAGCTTTCATATCTTGATTTTTCAAAAATGATAATACTTTATCATAATCTTTTATTCTAGCATTAACTGACTTTTCATACTCTTGTGGATTTGTATAATAAAGA